GTGGTTTCGCGTCTGTGACAGAGGTCTGATCGGCTTCTCGCCGTGCTCCACTATGAAAGTAAATCGTGGAAGCGCTGTTCTAGGTGACGTCGCGAAAACGCAAGAACGGGTGGAGTCCCTCTAGAGTCGGTTCTTCCTCGATATGGAATTCTTGTCGCAAGTATGGAAGTGTGTGGCCAGGCGCTTAACTAGCAACACACTGTGGATTTAGTCGAATGGTCACACGTGGACGCGGTTAACCTTCCGCGCAAAAGGCGGCGATGCGACAGGCCATGAGACGCTCGCAACACCCTTGGCAGCTGCGCAAAGTTGAGTGGAATTACCTTCAATGATAGCATCAGCTAGGATTAGAAAATCCTATGCTGCGTTGGCAGTGTTGCTCTGCTGCGTACATTGTGATCTTCAAACCCTAGTCCGCTCTCTGAGCCAGACATCATGCTGTGATCAGAGAGACGATAGATAGCTGATACGTTGACTATACAACCCGCACATGCTGACTTTTTTTTCGTGTCGTCAGGCTGGGTTTTTGCCGAGGCATGAAACAAGCTTGGTGCTCCGGTTCTGCCTTGCCTAGAGGTCTGACTGTTGTGTCCTTTGGGACGGGAGCCTACCAGTGACTCCGGGCCAAGATCCGTGGTGTTTGCATCGATACTGTGTGTAAGTCAGGCCCGATACGTGGGGACCTGGGGTAGCCTACCCACATCACGGTTCACGGATCACCTAGCCAGTGACAGCGAGCGATGGTCGCATCGTCGAAAGGAGACATCCGCACAGTACTTCGAGGTTTCCAGATGAGGGGATTGAAGGCCAGTAATATCTGCGAGAACGCTCGTAGTGTTGAAGCTTGACATTCGACCAGATGGGAATGAAGACACCAGAACCGGGAAGAGCCGCACCGGGGGCTGCGCTACAGCGCAAGAAGACTGCGGTGTAGATTTGTCTTGGTACTTCTTGCGGGCTGAATGATAGGTAACAGCTGGCTCCAAGCTAAAGAAGGGTGTTTGCCATAATGGTAAATGCACTTGACGATTTGAGTGTCTGGCAGACCTGGCTTTTCTCCTCGGCTTCTCTGCGCCTAGTAGCAAGCCTGATCGTGAAGTTCCCCGCATGGTTCCCAGAAACATGAACCTGCTAAATAGGCGGTAGACAGCTTGACAGACATGGGAGGTCGACGTTCGAATTGCTGCCCGTCCAGCTTCTTCACTGGCAAGGCTGCTAATCAGGTTTGGGCGACCTTCTTGTTCTTTGTAGCTGCATCGGTGAGACAATCGTTCTTAGATGGGCTTGAACTGGGCAGTTTCCGTTGATGATTACAATGGAAGGTCACTTGCGAGGTAGTTAGAATGCGAAGAGAAGGAAGCCACGATTAGCGTCTTGGCGCTGCCCCTCTTGCGCGGACGCAGGCACCCCCAGCGTACATCGCCGTACCCATACTCCGGTAATGTTTTTCGCAGTTATATCCGCGAACGGAATGGCTACATCTTCCTTGAAAGCCCAAGATTCTGGTCCCAAAGTCTTGTCGCCAGGTGCATTTGCATCGCTTTTATCTTGGACTCAAGGCCCAGCGCAGTCTCCAGACACGACTGATTTCTGGCGGAAATGATTGAACTTTAGTAGGGTAAAGTTTTGCAGATTCGGCCCTGTGTGAGATGAAGAACTCAAACTCTTCAATCACCTTACGAATTGATAACAATACGACCTCGATCGGGTTATTATCACGGGACGGCCGATTGATCGGTGGAATTCCAGCCATTCCCGTGGCTCAGGCGCCGAGCAACCTCGACTGATAGCTGTTCGCACGGTCTCTGTTGCACTAGCTGCCAACTGCTGGGGGTCTGAGTTCCGAAGTGAGAGTACCGTTTGATGTGTGTTCAAACGTAGCAGATGGTTTTGATGTTTGGCGTGCTAATCAGACCCTGGAACTGCGTTCGCGGCATCTTCTCCGCCCAAGCTTCAAGCTGATGACGACAATCGCGTCAGCTATCCCCCGTCATCACCCCGAACGCCAGACACGCGACAACAAACCAACCTGAGCATGGAGGTCGCACCGTTCGGAATTCGGAATGACGACCAGTGCATCGCGCGCGCGAATGGCTGACTCGTGCTCACCGCAAATAGCGCACCTGTGACCATGAGCGGCTAGCCGTGACTGCGGGGTGCACGCCCTTCGCGGACTCAGCATGGGAGCAAGCATGGGACTTTGTGACTGTTCCTGCTCTTCTTCCTTACCTTGCAGCTTTGGATAGCATGCATCCTCTACAACCACCGCCGCCGCCATGACAGAACACCGCCTACCGGTCAAGCAGCTGGCCATTCTCTGTACGTCCGCTCGACGCGTCTTCACCTGTAAGCTTGCTAACTTCGCGACAGCACTATGCCGGTTTGCCGAGCCCATCGCCCTCACGTCTGTCTTCCCCTACGTACCGGAGCTCATGGAGTCCTTTGGCATCCCCAAGAATGACATCGCGCGCTGGGCTGGTATCTCGTCCTCGGCCTTTTCGCTATGTCAGGGCTTCACTGGCCTCCTCTGGGGCGCTGCATCCGATCGCTATGGGAGGAAACCGATTATACTTTTTGGCCTTACCAACACTATGTGGTCGATGTTGCTATGGGGTTTCTCGCTCAATCTGCCTATGGCTTTAGCCGCACGCGCTATCGGAGGACTATCGAACGGGTACGTGGGCATACTGCGCACTACGGTGGCCGAACTATGCCCATGGAAAGAACTACAACCGAGAGCGTTCAGTGTCATGCCTTTGGTCTGGACAGTTGGTGCCACGTTTGGACCTACACTCGGTGGAGCCTTGGCCAATCCTCTCCGCGTAGATCCTCGCAAGCCTAAGGGCACCGCTTTCCTGGAGAGGTTTCCGTACTGCTTGCCTAATATTGTGGCCGCCGCATTATTCACTTTCGGCATTTCAGTAGGCTGGCTGTTCCTACAGGAGACCCTGGAAAGCAAGAAGCACGCTCCAGATCTAGGCCTGAGAACTGGGGCTCGGTTAACAGCATTTGTTCGCAAAATACTACACCTTCCAACCAAGAAGCAGACCAGCGGTTCAGAGCACGAGCCTCTACTTGGTCAGCATAAAGTAATCGACAGCGAAACGACGTCGCAACATGATGCTGCTCATGAAATCATCCCAGAAAAGGCACCAAGGTATCGGGATGTATTGACATATCAGACATCGCTTAATCTGATTGTGTACACGCTACTCGCTATGTACCTTCAGGCATACGATCAGGTGCGTGATTTTGTGCGCCTGCCAAGTATTGATATTGATCCAGTGCAGCTGCTTCCAGTGTTCATGCATCACCCTGTACAACTCGCAGACGATCCTACGGTATCCCTTCCTCTGAAATTTGCAGGAGGCTTCGGAATTGAATCCCGTCGCATCGGCATCATTTTCACCGTATTCGCCATCTCATGCACTGTGTGTCAATTCCTGCTGTTCCCACCCATTGCGCGCTACCTCGGTGTTGTTCGCTGCCTTCGGATTGCCTTTCTCATCTTCCCATTTGTGTTCTTCGTCACACCGTTCCTGTCACTTATCCCAGATCCAGTCATGAGGGAAGTCGCTATGGTCATGCTCTTGATGGTCAGAGGCCTGGCTGGCACATTCTCATTCACCACCAGCACAATCATGCTCACGAACAGTGCGCTCAGCCTGCGTGTCCTAGGCACCGTCAACGGCCTGGCTACTAGTTTTAGCTCGTTTGGCAGGGCATTAGGTCCTACTTTGGGGGGTGGCTTGTTTACTTGGGGTGTCAAGCGCGGCTATGTCATTGTACCTTTCTGGACAATGTCTGCCATTGCGCTTGCTGCCTCTATACCAACTTTCTGGCTAGTCGAGGGTAAAGGGTTTGGAGGCGACGAAGATATCAACGACCAGGAGAACATCATCGAGACAGAAGAAGAAGTGGTTGGAAACGACGCAAGTGTACCTCCAACAACCTGGCAGCAAGATGAAGCAGCGTTTTCAGAGTCGGAATTCGGCGACTTTGGTGACCCACCAAATATCTTGAGTCTCACAACTACGCGATCGAGTGTGGCCATGGCCTCCGATGATGAAGACAACGCTTCGGTGTCTGTGGGTCAAGGGCAGTCGATGAATCCCCTGGAGGCGGCAAGAAGTCATTCTCAGACCAGACGACGAAAGATTGTAAGGAGGACGTCATCGATACCGATTGGTATGGGTAAGGGATTCAGGCGATATAGCTCTAATCTAGGCAGCACGGGTATCGGCGGAGGCGGTGCTAGCTGGGGAGGCGCATAAATCTGGACTTGGATGGGAATATGTGCATTACTGAGTATTCTGAGAAAAAGCATTCATCCATGAGTTCATTAAGCGCATCGATCTTGAGTTGACTCGAGCTTCTTTTGTGTGTCAATGTAAATATTGCAGGTGATGTGCTAAATCTCAATTCACTTTTTTCGTCATCACTTGCAGGAATGTGTTATCCATATACATACACGAAAGCGTTCTTGGGGTTCCTTGACCATCATCTGAAGTAGAACCAAGAATGTCTCTTTTGCACGACAACCATGAGATAATGAGCGTGCACGATTCAAGATGAGTAAGCGCAAGTCTCGGGTGATGATGAGAATGGGAGAAAAGTTCAATTACAACGTACAGACTACTGATGTTTTGTCATCCAACCTGCCTACGATGTATCGTAACCCATAATTTAACCGCTTAATCCATTAAGGATCATATACCAACGCCCTGTACCACCGTATAACTAGACCATACCAGGGTATCTGATACTCCACGATGAACTCCACCCAATAATCCTGCAGTGTCCCCCGCGATACCTCCCTAGCTCAGACCCTGTTAAACGATAACGTAGTCAGTATCCTCATCCCAATCCCCGATGCTACCAGCATCAAAGTCCTCGCTGAAGGAAGAGTCGTTGGGGAAAAAACCAGATAGAACGATACGATGCAACGTTTCTCTTCGAAGTTTCCACGCAGCCATGCGGGGAAGAGTATGGTGCTCAGACTATGAGCCTTGGCCAACATTGTCCATACCGCCTCTGTTGGGCATACCAAAGGGATTCCGATTATCGCTGACGGGTGTGCCGTCGTGCTTATTGATAGCCGCATTGATAGGGCCGTTGATGCTCGCGTTACGAACGGGACCGCTCATGCTATTTCGGCCGTTTACGGGGTTGCCGTGGATGTTTTTAGGTACGCCGTTGTTGTTCATGCTAGGGCCTGGCATGCTGTTATTCCGATTGTGGTTGTGGACCCCGTTTCCGTTGATTGCGACGGGAAGGCCGTTGGGCATGTTGTTATGCATGCTGTTCTCCAGGCCTGCGCTCATGGGGCCGCCCATCGGTGGACCCATTCTCATGCTCTCGTTGTTATCACCCATGTTGTCGACATCGGGCCAGAAGCGCTCTTCTAGCCAACACATTTGTCGGAAGATCTCTTCGCAGCGCGACATTTCCTCTTTGCCATCGCGTGTAGTTGTGATGTTCGCTAGCTCATCGACGAGCGCGCGTGTCGCCTCGACGAATTTGCTGAAGGCCGGGGAGGTCCAGTTCGGTATTAGGGCTTGGTGGAGGGCGACGATGTGCGAGTCAGTGGAGGTGTTGGAGAGAGTATTGGAGAAGGAGGCGGCATATTGCCATGCGGAGCGATAGCACTATCAGACATTAGCTTCGTGCGCCCATTACTGGGTTGGGTTGGACCTACATGTTCGCTTGCCCACAGCACGACCATACCCTCTAAGAGTGATGCGCTCGCACTACTAGCGCTCACGAGAAGATCAAGCATGGCGCGCGTAATAGGCGTAGGCGGTTCCATGCCCAGCGCAAGCCCATACTTGGTCGCGGTGATCTCGAAGAACTGCATCTCTCTTCGCATGTTGTTCAGCGCGGAGATGAGGAGATCCATGGTGCGATACATGGGATGGAACTGCGAGTTCTGCGTCTGCGGCAGTCTTATCTTGGCCAAAAGCTGTCCTATGAAGCGAATGTAGCCTCGCGCATAGTGTCCGTCTTGTACCAGCCATTGCGACAGCGGTCCTGCTCCTAGCGATCCACACCCGGCATGCGATAGGAACGGTCGCTGTGTTGCTTGCGCAAATGGGCCCGAGCAGATGCTTAGGAGATGAGACGTCAGAGAAGGCGCAACATTGGGTGTCATGGCAATATTCGGCGCAATAGGCTGTCCATCGCGTGTGCGCTTACTGTTGGGACCGCGCCGATTTACTTGGAGGTTTGGATTTGGTTGCTGTCCACTCAGAATTTGACTGGGGCCTGGAGCCATGTTCGAATCCATAGGCAATCCATTTTGCTGAGGCGGCTGCTGTTGTTGCTGCTCCTGCGCGAGAAGATGGGCCTGCGCCTCGGGCGAAGTCAGATATCGCTGGCAGTCTTGGAGATGCTCGATCTGTCGCGTTGTATTCTTCGCGCGCACGAAGCCGCAATGCAAACAGCGTACTTTGTTACATTTCGAGGGCGTGTCTTGGTCCTGAAACTCTTCAAATGCTCGCCTTATGTCAGGGTTGGCATGTCTGCCCATGGCGGCCTGCTGCCATGGTGGACGTTAGCCTCATGGCAGCACATGTCGTCGGAAAAGATACGGAACAAGTGGAGCTCACCTCGAATCGGGCTGTCTCGATGATGTGATGTGTATTGTGTATTGTAACAATCCGGGCGGGTAAGGTATCGCCCCTCACCGAGGCATGTTAGGCGGCTGCGGCGCCTTACCTCAGCCGACATTGCCCAGATGGACCTGCAACCTCCAAACGTGTCTCCGGCTGCACCTGCCCTGGAGGTGTTCACAATTTTCTAGTTGACATAGGCAGGGGCTAAGTTGGGATACAGTTTGGCTAGGCATTAGACGTTGATGTGGTTTCACGTGGTCGACATGTGCGTATCGTGGGCATCGTTAGTAACCCGGTTCTGTTCGTTAGGTTGCCGCCAGCGCCTGTGCACGCGAAATCTTTCCGTAATTTCAATCGGCGGCCATGCAGTGCATCGAGAACGCTTCCGCGTGACTTGCACCATGCCTCTGAAACTAAGCATGCGCAACATTGTGCGCCGAACCTCCAACTATGCGAGCAAGTACCATCGTCATCCAGTCGCCATACTGTGTCGACCGTCATGATGCCGTCTTGTCCCAAGTCACATGGCCTAAAAGCGCCCGAGGCCGTCACTACCCACGCGGCGACTCTGTCTACCTTCATCACGCGACATCTTGACCCAAACTTCACTCCCACGATGCTTCACACTACCCCACAAACCTATGCTGTCAGCTTAACTCGTTCCAGTAGTCCAACCCGCCCGCGCATCTCCGCACCCCATCGCACGATGTACTATGACTGACGACGCTGCGCAGCTAACTGCCACCTTGGTAGACTAGCAGGCCGGCAGACGAATCCTCGTCGGGTACATCAACCTCAGCGAGCTTTGGGCACCCACGATGGTCACTAGAAAACTTCTGGCAGTCACACGCCCTCCCATGGCTCCGACGATCACGCTCGTAGATCTACTGCCGACTTCGCCAGCGCCGGGAAAGGCATCGTGCCACCTTCCCCGCATCAGCCAAGCTTTTCGCGATCGCGCGCCGTTGCACGTTTATACCCGACAATCGTGTCTTGTCAGTAACCTGGTAACGACATCACTTAGGCAAGCTGCATATGCGTCCGGTGTGTCGGGGGCGAATCTCGTGACGTGCAGAAGAGGAAGTTGGCAATGTACGGTGAAGAAGATGTTTGCGATTGATGACGTCGATGCTTCTGGGGGCGGCTCATCCTCCTGCTGCCCTATTGGCAAGCCACACGGTTTGCCTCGCATGTTGGACACCACGGCACGAAACAACTTGCTTTTACAAATGAATGTCGCCTTTAGCCAGTTGGCGAGGCAGAGGTACCTGTCTCAGCTTCCAGGTACCACAGTCCTCTACATGTGGCAAAGATCACTGCCCACGAGAATGCATGAGTCAGATAATGGCATCATACCTCCACCATGTTGGAAGAACTTCGGCCTCGTGGGCCTTTTGCCCGGGGACAGCGTGTTTTGCATGTGGACGTGTTGCCGATCACAGAACCACAACGAGGTCTGGCTTTGACCTTCCCCGCAACGGTGCCGCTTGCAGCCCAGTCTGCATTCCTCAGCCGCCCTGTGTGGACGAACGTACGACATCAGATGCTCAGTACATACCAAGGGTAGTCCGTGAAAATATCGGGGAACGCCCGAAGCAACGTTACACGAACTTGGCCGCAACCGGATTCCTATGTTGTCGACCATGCTCTTGACAAGTCGGTGCTGGCAAACGCCAACTCACTCCCAAGAACCCACCGTCCACGTTCCGGTGTATCACCACGCTCCTCGGACGCTGTTCCAAGCTTCTCGAAGATCGTCTCCAACGCGTGAGCACCGCCTCGGAAGCTAAGTGGCTGAGACACGCCGATCCCCACATCATAGCCATCAAACAGTCCTCCAATCACCACACTGTACCTGAATATCCCTTACAATTTCCGCCAAGCACCAACCCTGCATCTGACCTCTTTGATCCGCCTGACCCCAGATCTTTTGCTTTATGCTATGGCCTGCCGAGGCCGTCAGGGTCCATTTTACCGTAGCTTGCTGGCGGAACCGGTCTTTGTGGCGGTTGTCAAGCGGCTTGGGGTAGCTTCGACTTGCTTCCCCTATTGGAGCTGTTGCGTCACCGCGTCATTTGCCAGCGACGTCTCCGTGTCCGGAGTAAGTAACGATGTACACATCGTTCCGACACTGCTCGATCGCGACATGTCGGCGGTACTGCGGTTGGTTGCCTTGGTTGCCTTCCCCGACACCGCCCTAATGGTGGCTAGAATAGCTGTCGCGGCTAGCTGGGATAGAGCTCCGGGAAAGGAGATCATCCCTACGTCGTGAAGCAGCGAACACATGCTTGTATGGTGGGAATGACTGGGAAGAAAATTGGGGCGAATTTGTTGCTGTGTTGGCGGCTTGTGAGTCTTCGCTTTGTTCTGGTTAAAAGGAGATCCTTCCCCCGATGCCATGGGTCTGCACAAGTTCAAGTCTGGGTCCATCAGCTACACAACCTTTCCTGTACTCCTTCCGAGTACAATTGCATGTTATACAGCATTCAGTTAGTTGAGTAACAACACTCCTCATCTCAATATGATCGGATCCTGGACATCAGCGGCGGCCATTGGCCTGCTTGCTCTGAGCACAAACGCATCTCCGCTCCTACCCATCAAGCGCGCACCCATGTTCGATTACAACAACCAGAAGGTCCGCGGTGTCAACACAGGCGGATGGTTCGTTCTCGAGCCCTGGATCACACCCAGCATGTTCGAGGGCAACAGCGCAAAAGACGAGTACACACTCGTTGCAGCTGTCGGCAAGGAAGAAGCACAGTCGAGGCTGCGTGACCACTGGAACTCTTGGATCACCAAAGCCGATTTCGAACAGATGGCCGGTGCTGGTTTGAACCACGTTCGAATTCCAATAGGCTATTGGAGCGTACTCCCACGTGACGGCGACCCATACCTACCAGGCGCGTACGACAAGCTCGGAGAAGCGCTCGACTGGGCGTCCGATGTCGGTCTCCATGTCATGATTGATCTTCATGGCGCACCCGAATCCCAGAACGGGTTCGACAACTCTGGCAAATACGGCAACGTTGGCTGGACTCAGGGCGATTCAGTGGCCTACACCATCAAAGTCCTCAACAAGATCCGCGATGATCACGCGTCGCATCCCGCCGTCTCAGCTATCGAGCTTCTCAACGAGCCTCTGGGTCCCAGTCTCGACATGAACACGGTCCGACAATTCTACATGGATGGATGGGGCAACTTGAGGGACTCGAATGTTGCAGTCACCTTCCACGATGCTTTCCAGGGTGTAACTTCGTGGGGTAACTGGGGTGCTGGAATGTGGAACCTTCTCCTCGACACTCACCACTACGAGATCTTCGACAACTCTGCTGTTGCTATGAGCATTGACGACCACGTCAAGACCGCTTGCGACTTCGGTAGCCAGATGGCATCCACCGGCAAGTGGACTATCGCTGGTGAATGGACTGGTGGCATCACCGACTGCGCAAAGTGGCTCAACGGAAAGGACAAGGGTGCGCGTTACGATGGTACCTTTGGCGGCTCCAAGGTCGGTGACTGCACCGGCAAGTCGACTGGCACTGTTGCTGGCCTGTCAGAAGCCGACAGGTACAACATCGGTCGCTTCATTGAGGCGCAGCTTGACGCCTACGAGAAGGCCACCGGCTGGATTTTCTGGACCTGGAAGACCGAGGGCGCACCCGAATGGGACATGAAGGCCCTCTTGGAGGGCGGTATCTTCCCCCAGCCGCTAACGGCACGACAGTGTAAGTACTCCTTCTGGTGTCGCATGAGCATGAAACTGACAAACTCTAGACCCCGGCCAGTGTGGCTAAGTGCCTCGTTGTTCATGCAACGTCTACTTGGCGCGATCCTACTCTTTTTCCCGTCCTTCATGCACACACACTCGCTCCGCCGCAACACCTTTTACTCGACATACCGACCAGTAATGATGTAACGAATTTCATACCGCTTCGAAGATACCCCGACGACGCATTCACTCGCTAGATGGGACACCCACATGCAGTAGGGCTGTCCATGCTTGTATCGGCTGACACAGCTGTCACCGTCGCACCGCCCATTGAGCTGTTGGCTGGGCAGGGGCCCACCTGGCGCAATGTAAATATGAGACGATAAACAAACAGTAGAGTCAACAATGCAATGGAGAAATTGAAACAAACGCAAACTATCGTGACACGTCTGAGCTGTGAGTTGGATTACTTTGTCCAGGTTTAATGGGGTGAAGCGGTGATTTTGCGGGCTGACGGGCTTGTTCGCGGCTGCCGCGCCCGGCCCAAGCCATCTCGCTCGCACCTGCCCTACGGTGAGATGAATGTCTGTGATGTGCAGCCTCGCTTAGACGGCGATGCGTCGAGCCAGAGCGCACGAAGGTGCGACAAAGGGCCAACCTAACTCTCCCTTTTCGGGGCCTGGTCGTGAACCAGTGGCGCCTCGACGGCCGCCAGTGCAACGGTACCTGAGCTAGAGCGCACGACTCGGGCACAAGCAAGCAGATCGCGTTCCACGGCTTGCGAGAATCTGGAGAACCCTCGCCCGCGCATCGTGACACCGCCTCACCGCAAACTCAAACACCGCGATGCAATGCGACTCTCATCTCTTCGGCGTTGAGCTGTCGGCCCTTCAGCTGTTAGGGCTGTGTAAGCGCCGATATTGCTGACAGTCTGCCGGCTGACAGGAACAACGCTCCTAACTTTCAGGCACCCGCAGACAGTAGCGACAGAAGCAATCTCCAAGCAGCCAGGAATAGCCCGCACCAGCGTCCAACAAGCTGACCGGTAAAGCCACCAAACACTCCTGAAGACGCCGCAATCCACTGCAATACGAGCTGCCTAAATCCCTCGTCGCGGTGTCATTCGTCACGCGTGCCCAAGCGCGGTGCAATGCGTCCTAGCGCTGGCTCCGAAGGATATTGCACGGGACTGGAGCACCAATCTTAAGTTGCGCCGGCAACAGGGGTACCTGCATTGACCGTTTGTGGATGGGAAAATCGATATAGTTCGACTGACTCCCTCTTGTCTTGTTTCTTCCTACTGCTCACCTTCGCCTAGATATCTTGCAGCCCTCAGAAGACTTTTGTTTTCAGCCCTTCTTTAAGAAACCAGTCACTCATTACCAACCATCTCCCACTACTTAATACTCCATCTACCCCGGTTAATCACCTAATACCACCACAACAACCATCAACATGTACTCCAAGGCTACCATCATCACCTTCTTCGCCGGCCTCGCCGCTGCCCAGATCCACGCTCCCGTTGGCGAGCCCAGTGGCAACCCCATCACCCGTCCTTTGAACGAGGTATGTTTGCATCCCTGAGCGTTGCGCGCGCATCGCGAAACCAAACAAGACCCTGGAAGCTAATGCGCCCCACTAGGTTGTCCCCACCTGCGAGCAGTTCACCATCACCTGGCAGCCAACTACCCCCAACACCGTCTCCGTCCTCCTCCTCAAGGGCCCCTCCACCAACGTCGTCAAGTTCGGTCCTTCCATCGCTGAGGGTATCTCCAACAGCGGTTCCCTCAGCTGGACCCCTGCCTCCACTCTTGAGGCTACCAACGGCCCCAACGGATACGGTATCCAGATCATCGACGATGTCACCGGCCAGTACCAGTACTCCACCCAGTTCGGTATCTCCGCTGGAAAGTGCGAGGAGGCCGTCTCTTCCTCCATGATCGAGCCCAGCAGCGTCGCCGCTGCCGCCAGCTCTACCCCCGCTGCCAGCTACGGAAACGGATACGGTGCTTCATCTGCTGCCGCTAGCCACACCCCCATCCCTCTGCCATCTTCCGTCCACTCCAGCGAGGCTCCTTACCCCACCACCGTCATGACCTCCGCCATGGTCCCTGCTTACAGCACTGGTGTCCACGCCAACGGCACCGTCCCCATGCCCACTGCTGGTGGCAACGCTACCACCTCCAGGCTCCCTGAGGCTACCACCAACGCTGCTTCCGGTGTCCAGGCTGCGCTCAGCTTCGCTGGTGCTGCTGCCGCTTTCGCTTTCATGCTATAAGCGCATTTCCGCATCCCGGATATGTTATTATGTTATGACTAGCATTGGTTTCCTTTCTCTTCGATGATACTCCTGGTGTTCACTCATAGGGTGTCGCCTTCTTGTTTGGTTCCGAATATGTTCGTTGATTGTGTGCGAGTGTGTGGTGGGCGGTTGTAACTAGAGTGGAATTCGAGTGTTTTGCATAGTCGTTGGCGCGATTGCTTACCCAAAAGGACCTTTTGTGATGCGTAATGGAATCGATTATACCCTTTAGTCACTATCCTACCATGCGATGTCTGATGAATAGTAAACGGCAACACTGGTAACATTGCGCTCCAGCCAACAGTGCCCCGCACATCACACTCCAAATCATGACACATCAAACAGAAAAGGTTTACCTATGTTCCCCTCATGTAGTCTTACTGGCTAAATGAGAAGCAGACGGAGCTGACATTGAATGTGTAGTTCTTCAATCCATCATTCGTCACTAGCAACCCTGTGTTGCCAAGATCAACCCTGTGTTGCCAAGATCACCAATCGAGCACACCGGGCCTATATACATGATCGTTCGAGACATGTTCGAGACCCAAAACCTCTGTCCCAACCATGCGATCACGCCGCTGTGATCCATAAGCCGAACCACTTCTTTTAGTCGTTTCCGCCCGTATAGTAACGAGCAAATAATCCTGACTTGATCTACTGCCTAATGCTGGGGCTTAGAGTCTCATACGAATACACGCGCGAAGCACATGAACCCTATACACACCTAGACCTGCGAACGATTCTTGGTACCAAAAACATATCCGCCCTGCCAAGCCATGTGCGGGTATATCCAGTGAGCGGACCGCACCCGTTGTACCAAAGCAGCAGAGCGATTGGCTTGATGTGTGAACGCAATGCCCTTTCCCTCCAAACGGATGTTGATGTGTCCGCAATGAGCCGGCATTGATCCTTTATGGCATAGTGGTCAGCTAATCCAGTAAGCTTGTGTAGCAAAGGCGTAGTTTGAACTGCATTATGTGTCCCTTTGTGGGCTGTTGTGCGGTACTTGGCATGCTGACCTTTGGACGGTGATCGAGCTTGGCGGGATGGCTTATGGAGTGGTCATGGAGTTGAACCGGTGAGCGTAGTTATTTGAATGGATGGCTTTCGTGGTAAAGCCTGGAGTTCATGCCTTGGTTTTGGTAGGCGAGGGTTTCTAAGTTATCGTTTGTTGGGTATTGGCAGACTGCCTCTAAGCATGCACACGAAGAGTAGAGGGTCTCCTTTCCGGCGACTGTCAGGAGTTTGTACTCATTTCCAAATCTGTCATACTTTCCTCAGGTCGACACGTAAGCTTCTGTAGCCAAGCTTCAAGAAGTCGTTCTCATACGATGGCAACTACTCACTTCACCTGGGCATGTCTCACGACTCCACCTCTTCAACAGTGTATTCAACCGAACCTTGCAGAAGCCAATGATCGTGAGAAAGATATCCAATCGTATGCTCATGACGCCTGAGACAGTAGACATCATGATGACCAAGAGCAACACCGGTGTGGTCGATGATTCTCCTGCGGAGCGGACTTAAAAGTCTTCTGGTTGACATGCCAACATATAAAAGACGACGAGTATCCGCTCCTACTTTCAACAATCACTCAATCCATTCACCTCCAGACCCTCATCTCTTCATTCAATCAACCCAATCCACAATGAAGTACCTCCTCACCACCCTCGCGGCGACAGCCTCACTCCTGAGCGCCGTCACCGCCGACTTCGAGATCTACCGCGTAGGCATCGGCGGCAACGGCATTACCGCAAACGTCGAAGGCTGGCAAGTCTACCAGGACGAAGCCAACTGCGACACTGTGCTAGATTGGATTTGGCCCGACACCGACGACGCGAGTGGCCGTGGCGTCCGCTGCGAAGGCGATGGCTGCGGTCGCTCTGACGACAGTGATCCTGCCAGCATCGATGTCCTTGAGATGAATTTCGAGGGGTATCACTGGAGTAAGTGTCCTCTTACCCCTGGTGTGCAATAGAAACTTGGGAAAGGGCGATTGTCAGGCTAACAGACGCGTGCGCAATCTAGCTTACTACCGCGACCGCGGCGATGGCGATCTAGTGGACACGAATGATGTTCGTGTTGGAAGGTGCTACGCTTGGCCTGCGGCGTTCCTGACGTGCGGCTTGACCTTCGACAGGCTGGAGGTAAGTTGTGGCCGTACAGATTATATGTGAGACATACACTGACTTCGTGTCTTCACATTTTCAGGGATATCGCAAGTTGCGCTGTGAGGTTGACGTCAACGCTGAGCAGATCAACTCCAACCGCTTCAGTCTCAGGGGCCGCAGCTTGCCTGGGCGTAACTAAGTGCGCTTCGTACCTAGTGAGAACGTGGTTCAACACCTTGGATTCTCATTTGGTCGGTCGTCCTCTAGTTCACGGTGGGAGACATTTGTGGGAGTATTATACATTCGTTTTTCTCATGTAGCTCGTACACTCGCTTGGAATAAACAAACAGACGTCTGCCATCTTTCCCTTGTGTGATCAGCAACATGGTCATTAACACTCTCCTCATTAACGACTTAAGTGCCTGCTTGCCATGCCCAAGTCAAACTCCAGTGGTTCGCCCTTCCAAGACGCATCCGCGCCTTCATGAACTTGATCAAGCGATGGCCTTCCACTAAGAGAGGTTCGCTGAACTACGACCTCATGCGTGCACCATATCTCGCCATTACCTGTATTCCTCTCATTCGCACGCCAATGCATCTCGTCCGACGATCCCTCTGACCCCTCCGTGTGCAACTCCTTCAATTTGAAGCCGGACTCTTCGTCTCCTTCGACAGTAGCAAGACGACTCTGGCTTTGACTTCGGAAGTTGTTCCTGTTGACCTCCGACTCTTGTGTACGTCCGTAGCCGCGGGAGAACGCGTTGTTCTTGAGACGAACACTGGCGACGCCGAGGTAACGCAGTACATGTTGGAACGGCGAGCGTAGAGTCGGTATGCAGATGACGATGAATCCCACGAGCTCCTCGATAGCGGACCACATGCCGACAACGATGCTTTCGTTCATCGGATCGCCCGTTTTGCCAAAGTTCATAGCAGCGATAATTTTCAAGATCGATGCCACACCCGTGAAGAAGCCGAGTCCCATAAGTACGCCAACGACAACGCGTTCGCGAACCGGACGCTGGATCCCACGAAGGAAAGATACGGGAAGAAGGGCGAGTATGAAGTCGGTGAGGATATGGATGACGGAGACGGTTATCGAGCTTATCCTGACTCCCGTCCTGCTCCAGCAATGGCCTTCTACTGTACCGAGTAAGTCCCATGCTTTCTCGACCGGTATGCATTGCAGTAGTGTTGCTAGTGTGTTGTAGACCGCAAGTATGATCTGTAGACCGATCATGGACCAGAGGAAGCGCTTCATGAATTGCGAGGGAGAGATCCGAAGAAGCATCAGGGAGAAGGATATCTTGACCAAGGCCATAGACCACCCCCAGATTGGTTGTGAGATAGACGCTAACTTGGTTGCAGCTTGCGCGTCTGACAGGAAGAACTCATTTGGTGGGAGCCCGAAAGCATACGGCGTGGCGGCAAGGAGAAGACATGTGTTGACCACTATCAAGACCTGATCCTGTCAGTCGATCCGATATCGTGATTATATGAGAGAACATGAACTGCTACTTACCCATGCCAAAGCGCAGGTGTAATCATCCCACTGCATTCTGTATACAGGCATCCATCGTGACCACATGCGCGCTCCAAAGACGATCAGAGCGATGCTTTGAAGGGCCAGCGTCGCACCGGCGATTGATTTCCCACTCCTCAGCGCTGCCGCTGAGGGAGGCGCAGGAATCAAGTGAGGATCTGGTGGTGGTGGTGTTGCCATGACTCTCCTGTCAACATGTCGTTTGCGAGTGACGGGGCATTGATGCTCATTTCAGGCAGACAGTGGATCGAGCGGAACCGCGGCGTATATTAGGAGTATGTCAAGCTTCAACAAGCATGGCCCATGGTGGCGTGAGGCATACTCTAGTAATAAACTTCGAGCGTTGACCCAAATGACACCGATCATAGCTTGCGATATACTTTAGGGTCATGTCGTGGCAGGTTGGGTTCAAAGCCAATTGTCGGAGATGCGCGTTTGTACCAATGAGGACGCGGTGTTCATGTCGTTGTGAAATTTTCAGGCACAGGCAATGTGCCTGACGATGCAGGCTGAAGGTGATCGTTCCTTCGCTGCAGGGGCTCGCAGTTGGGTATGTCGATCGCACCATGATGTTGGTCGAGATAGTGGTGCTAGCTGTCGTAGTGAAACTTAGCATCTTCTATCATGTATTGATTGGCCGACTTTCTCATCAAAGTGTGCGAAAGAACATTCGATCCAACTTCTGAAAATGTAGCCTTTGAGGATCATTTTGTCAGAGTTTGAATGTTCAGACGCAACGTCGCATTGTCCCGACCGTTAGTTGCTCTTCGGGTCGATCATCTGTACTGAATCAGGCTAAACACTTGACGTCGAGCACCGAATATAAGTCCGGAGGGGCTGCATGTGTGCAGGCTAATTCCATTTCAAGTTTCTCCGCGCAGGTATTTGGCGAGAATTTGGCGAAAGCGAGATTGGAAAGATGGTAAAGACGATGTAGTTAGCGACGGGCGCGATTCCGAGCGCGATCGCGGGTGGCGGCGCAATCGTGGTAGCCTTGGACCCTAATCACCAATGACTAATTCGACAATTGCATGTGGCACCGAGGCGCTTTCCGGCGATGCCGCCGACCAGCTTCTGGAAGTCGCACCTCGTGGAGCTTCACGCAGCGCCGAATCGGCTTCCTTCCATGACACTACGCTTTCGAACTGGTGATGGCACCATTGCGCTCATCTTGGCTCCCGAGGTCCCAATTCTCTGTATTCATGCCGGAGGTTGTCCTACACACTCAAACTCTACTCCAGCCACCGAGCTACAAAGCTATCCTAATTACCATACTCCAACCCATTATGAGCCTTCCAAGCGAGTGTAAGACGTCGCTAAACCAAGTCACAGAAGATTGTTAGTCACACTCGCCTGCCATTGCTGCATCGAGGAGCTGCATGCGCTCTCCTGGCCAGCACTCAGACGCCGAATTGATCGATCTTCATATCACGAACATCGCAAGCATTGGCACGCGCAACGTCCCCTCACGGCAAACGAGGCCTCCAGCACATGCAGCATGAGGCGTTCTTCGGCCAGAGATAGCTGTGGAGGCTCATACTACATCGGCTGGCTAAAATTCTAGTAAACAGACATCAGGTCTCGTACGAAGATGGACGCTCGCGTTATGATATATTTGTGACCATTTGCGCAAACGAGTGGAAGGGACTGGTAAACCCTGCGGATATTATTTCTTATCTCACGATAGGTGCATGCTAAATATACAGGGGAAGAGTTGGAACGATATAGGATCAAGAATTCCGCCATGCACATTCGGCACCCGTAGGACGAGATAGGATGTCACATAGCAGCATCATTGTATATCCCTCACGTCCACACAAAAAAAAAAGCACCGAGCTAGGGACACTATCAGGCATGCGCCATGTCTTGCCAAGTGGGAAGCCTGTATGGTGTGAAGAACCTAGGCAGGCAATGATTCCACCATCATCAGGGCGTTGCTTCACAGCAGAATGTTTGTATACTCGATCGCGGTTATCTCATCATGCACATATATCCGATTGTACTCCCGACGTCGTTCGCCCAGCTTAACCAGAGCTGAGGATGCGCGATCTGCTATTCCAGTCGTAGTGGCGTCCGGCAACGATGATGTGCCGCTGACGGCAAGGAGGTCACGAGCGAGATTCACTTCCTAGTAAGCATGTACACGGCGTACATGGCGTGTTATCTTATATCATCATCAGCTTCTACTTGCAGTATCGCATGCGACAATCTCACAGCCAGCGGAAGAACGTATAAACGGCGAAACTGTTCTCCGCTTTCGGAGTGCGCAAGTAGCGGAAATTGGAGGACCCAACTCGACGTCGGTAATTGTAACCTTGGAAGGCACACTGCTGCAGGCAGAAGACGCTGTACTACTGCCACACCCAAATGGCGACATACTGCCCTATAGCGAGAGGTGAAGGATGGCGTTGCAGGGGGTGTAGCGACAGTTGTCTGCCCCACCAGCCCTCTCGCGTTTCGTTGCTGCAAGCGTCAGGGCGCGACTAGGGCAACCAGCTCTCCACGATTCGCCAGCGTGTTAGCCTCAGTTAGCCAGGCCCCAAAGGCGGTCCGCCAGAACAGCTCAGCCTCCACAATGTCGCATGGCGCTATCCAGGGTGGACAGATGTGACAGCGTGTCGCGAAACAAGTGAAGGTCGCACCGGAGACCACGGCGTGTTGCATCTTGCATGGCCGACATGGCGGTCAGTAGGAGGTAGATAGAGATTTTGCAGGATCTATCGGATACGAAAGGGCGAGGCGACTGTGTGCGCCGTGTGTTGCTGTTAATAGCATCGGAGCATGGGAGCGGACTAGGAGTTAGCGGCAGATCGGGTATAGGCCAGGCTTGAACGAGGAACGTGACCCTGGCCGAGCGTGTCTGGCTGCAGCAATAGCGCCTGCTAGACACCTCTACATTCCAAGCTGCCTTACTAGTAATCGCGATGCTCCCATGTTGCTTTGGTCCCAGCTGAAGACGACCCAAGCGACCACAGACACCCATGGAGCCGCATCCGACGCCCACTTGACGCTCTTCGCACCCGCTCTTACCACATCTGCCCACGCAAGGAAGGCGCGATCAGGCTTACCATGGTGGGGAGCCCTTCACACCATCACAACTCGGGAGCGCAACTCGACAGCACGGCGCCCTCAACGGAAGGCAGGGGGAAGGGCGTCGCTTTCGCCAGCGATGAGGGCAGCGCTCAAAGAAAACGGGCGGCCTACGACGAGCGCGCGCGCACCACGTCCGTCAGCTCTGAAGACTCGGAGGGCTACGAGCACGTGAACACGCTGCTCTCTGCGTCGTCGATTGCTAACACCGACACCATCTCCTCGTCAGGCCACTCGACGGCTATGACATCCGCCACTACCTACGACGATCGGCCGAATGACGATACGCCCATTGCCACTCCGTCGTATGCGGCCCCCAGCCTTACCCTCCTCGAACTCGTCTCCAACACTGCGTCCTCGTCCGCGCTCCCTGATAGCTTCGATGTCAATGTGTCACGAAAAGGTGGATATGTAGCGGTATACTCGGCGTCGAATCTGTTCTTGGTCAAGACCGTGCAGCTGCCGCGACTATGGGCCAGGACACTGCAGGTCAAGCGCAAGCCGGTCGCAATCGATATTACTGAGGACGGCTTTCTATTGGCCGTGCTATCGAGACCTTCACAGGTCGATCTATACGAAATCCACGGCGAGGGTGATAATCAGATCAAGAAGAGGCGGACCATCATGCTGGTGCACGAGGCTAGCTCTATCGTCATATCGCCGGACGCGCGCATCTTAATTACGGGCAACAAATTCGGCATCGAGGTCATTGCCATTGGGCCAGAAGTACCCGAGACGACACGACGTACGCTTTCTGGACCTGCGGGTGACGCATTGGAGTTCTCGGACGATGGTCGCACACTGCTCATAACGGGGTATGCGAGGAAGTCGGATGGCTCGGCCTTGTTCGTCCTACCGGGTCTCTACGATGGTCCGCTTACAGAAGAGGGCGAGCCGATTCCACAACCCCCGGAAGCTGCATGGACTGGCTCGGTGCTGTTTCCTGAGACGGCAAGGATAGCACGCCAAGCTACCCTGCTTCCAGATGCGGACACCGGGACTTTCAACGAACTCTTCGCGTTCAACGCCGAGGAGGACTCATGGGGCATCTATGACATTGCATGCCAACGCTTCACACAGAGGAAAATGTTCTTACCGGATCACGCGAGGTGGACGCGCTCGGAATTCGTAGACGATGCCATGCCTGCCGTCTCTCCCAATGCTGACCTTGCAGCTGTGGCCCTGCGGATGCGTGGTACCACCAACATCTGGATTTACGAAGTACCAGGTTGGGAGTACAAGCCGAGCGAAAAGGCCAAGGTGGATGCCCCGATTCAGCCTTGCTTTTGCATCCCTATTCCGAACGACAATGCAGGTACTTTGCAAGAAATATGCGTGCTCAGATGGGTTAGGCTGAACGCCAATGTGCAGCGACTTGTGGCGGTCGGCAACTCGAGCATACTACCCGATGAGAACGACGTGCCTGGGGCGCCACTTGGTTCCAAGGGCGTTCTGATAGTCTTGGATTTCGACAAGACAAAGCCCCTGGGAAGCGCTCCACCGACGCCGCTCAAGACTGAATACGACTTAGACCCCCTTTGTCCAGGCGAGATGTTACCGGAAGGCTCGATTGACTTTGATCGCGAGGTGGAACTGGTACGAACCAGGACCATGGCACAGCGCAGAGCCCAGGATCGAAATGACAGTGTTGCACGAAGACCATCGAGAATTGGAACCACGCCTGTTCAGCGGGCGCGTACTTCTGCGAACCGGAATGCGCCAAGACCACCACTGCCTTCCGATGAGTCGGAGGAGTTGACACCGGAAGAGGCACAGGCAATGTTTGAAGCTCCGTATGATAATCAACAACCTCGATCTCAGATGTCTCTAGCTAGGGCTGCCACCGTCGCGGCAGTGTCACCTGCGAACCGTCGGCATCTGCGTGCTCTGCCTTTCAGACCCCTGGAGTACCGTCGTGCAGACGGTCATCGAGAGCTGCCACACGAAAGTGACGCCGACAACTGGGTGCCACCTCCGCCAGCATATACGACCACCGCAGCAGCAGCAGAGAGTGTCAGCCTGAGCCATCCAGATGCGCCCCCCGTACCTCGATTACCTCATACTCACTCATCATCTTCCATACCGCCCGTTCCTCCACTACCAAACATGTCCGCAACCATTAACCCCTCCCAAATGTCTCCGTCGCACCCTTACCATCAGCGCCAGCAATCGATATCTTCCGTCGACGTATCATCACCTCCAGCTGCAGACCCAGGGCGTCGCCCATCCCTGCTGCATCCATCCACATACCCCAGTCCCCAATCTTCGGGCTCGATACGACGGAGGCGATCAAGTACCCGATCACCATCGGAACAAATGTCGTATGTACCCTTGCCGCAACCCCAATCCGCATACCCCAACACCGCATCCCACATGCCTACCCGTCGTCCCACAAATGGGCGCACTCAACGCGTTCCTCACGATAATCTCGACCTTTACGCTCCACCTGTCCCCAGTATTCCAGCCTCCCGCCGTGGCTCGGCTCCAAACATAGCTGTCCAGCGCCGTCCTCTACCCATGAGCAGCCCACGCATGAGTATGCCCTACCCTGCACCGCCAGTCAACAACTCAAGTCAGCCAAGGAACACTCTGCCACCTCTGGCTGCTCCAGACCAACAGTTCTCAGCCGGTCAAAGGTTCCCCATCAGTGCGCCGCCGAGAACAGATCAAAGTGCACAGTATAACCATCCTTATGGGAGTTACTACGGGCCACAGCAAGGCGGCGTGCACAGGGCGTCGCAGAGTGTGGGCGATCTCCTCGGTGGGAGTGGAGGTACTGGGCGCAGTTCCAGGATGGATGGCGTCCTTGTTGGAGAGAAGAAGGCTAAGGGGAAGAAGAAGATGGGATGCGCTGTTATGTGATCAGCGGTAAAGCAACGACGGACGACCGATTTATGTTTCTCATGATTATATTATACCCATGAAGTTGTTCCCTTGGTGTCGGCGTTTTGGTCTTTGAAGAAGGCTTGGATATGCGAGCGCTCCTGCAATTGGTGAGCGGTTGAGCGATGTCATCTTTTGAGAATTTGACGAGATCGCACATGGTGGTTACCTATACACAAGGTACTTAGATTGACGCAAGGAGCAATCCAGGGATTATCGGAATATCATCTTTTTTTACATTTTGACTCGTTGACCTCGCATCTTGATTAGAAAAAAGGTGATTACAAATCTGACGTCGCTTTACTTGAACTCAAGTCCTACCATGGCATCACGCTGACGAAATCAACCACGCACGACTCGATGACTTTCAAATTTCATACTCTACTCTACTCTACTCTACTACAGGATTAGGTCCTCTCTAAGAATGAGAGTCACAATCACAATGGAACCCCGTACTTTCATCATCCCAACTGCCCAGAACCGGTGACGTACTACGATATCACGCAATCATGCTCACTGAGCGCGTGAAGCCATAGCAGACATTTGATATGACGCTAACTCATCTCTGTCCGAATTACCCCGTGCGTCTAGGCACGAGCCTTGGCGTGTAGCCTGGAGCAATGATATATCGCATTGTGACATTGGAAGACCTCTTCAAGACACCCCCGCTCAACTAATCCAAGACGTTCGAAATGGTCGGTCCGCGTAACAACAAGAAAGAGCCCGCGCAGGTACCCGGTGATCGAGGTGACGTATCGCGCTTGAACACGAGATCGCACTCTGTTATGGCGCAAGGTCACAATGACTTCAGCGGCAGTCGCCCAGGCTCCCAGCGTAACCAGAACGTTTCAGCTGATGACGTGGTAAGCTTTCGCTCCTTGGGTACCAAATAATATAGCAACTAACGTATAGCAGTTCGCATACAGCCCCAACGTCCAACCAAATGGTGCTCAAACGTCAAGGAACAACGTGTTCTCGCCTATGGGTCAACCGAATTATCCCACCATGAGTCCCAGCTTGGTAAATCAGGCACCAAAGACTGTAAGTATCTGCATGATCAGTGTAAAAGATGCTTCAACTAACATGACAGCAGGAAGGCTGGGTTACACCAACACTGTCTAACAGACAGCCCACTGGTTTCGCACAACCTATGGACGCTCGCCGATACTCTCAAGCTTTATCACAGGCAGGCTACCCACCCTGGGCAACCCTATCAGACTCTCGCCCGTTCAACCCGGGTCCACCCCAACGCCCGATCGCATCTCCGTATACCCGCTATCGAGAAGATTACAAGCAAAATCCCTTGACCGATACGTCCGCGGTACCTAACTCCTGGCTACCCCAACTCGATATCGACCTCGATCAGATGCATAACCAGTGTCCCGTACCCAGCCCATCAAGACCATTACTACAACCCTACTCGATCTCGTCGTTCAATGAACTCGAATTACCCACCGGCGCGGCTGTCGCATCTTACCTAGAAGAAATCATATGGCGACCGTCGACTGGCGCCTACGCTGTACCACAAAACGAAGCGGAGAAATCGTACTACGTCAAGAAGATCTGTTTCGGTCTCGTCAACCTCTCCAACCTATGGGATACAGTCGCAGATGTGTATCCCTACGCCGTCAAGTTCTCCGACACAGGTGCATGGGCAGACCCTAGAGACATCGAAGCGACCGCCCACATCATCGTCAGCAACGCTATGCGCATCCACAAAATGGGTGTCGCTGGCTTGCCGTTTCGTCGATGCGAAGAGTTTGAGTCGCTGAACGCGGAGGATATGGATTTTACTTTCCCACAGCGGATCCATTATCTTGCGCGTCTGTTCTGGCACTCGAAAGTTGCGGCTGATAACGTCATGTTGGGGAGGGATATTGCCAAGTACGTCGCCTTGCCGCTGACGTCCCTCCGCCATCTACCGCGGTTCGAACAAGAGTGGTCGAGTATGTCGGACCAGCAGCGTATAGTGCAGACTCAAATTCATCCGTATCCGCAGGGGCTTAGGCATCCGACTCCCCAGGAGCAGGAGCAGATCTTGAAGCATGTACGTATGTTGCCGTCGTTATTCAATAACTACATGGCCACGGGTGGCCAGTCGGGTACGTTTAGTCCACGTCAAAAGCCACCCGGTGGATCAGCAGCGCCTGGGAAGCGTCCAGCAGATGATGACGAAGGATACAAGATGGAGCCTGCAGCTAAGCGCTCTCATAATTATGCGCGTTCTCGGGGTGATGAGAGCTTTGAGAAGTTCCAGTATGAGGAAGGTCACCGCCCAGGTAGCACCATGGGCACTAGATCTGCCACCCAAACTCCGGCGAGCGATCGGACCAACGGATGAGAGACCTTAGCAGAGTGCTCAGTATACATCGGGCAGTAGCAGTAAAATCGTGACAAGTATGTCCGGCGGCGGTTGCAAGGCGAATGTGGTTCCGAAGGAGTCCGATTTGGAGTTTAGCTTAGAGCTCGGTCGTTGCCATACTTAGAGCTATGGATGCGACCATTTCGACATTGTCACATCGAACAACATCGTTAATTGGAAATTTCCCACGTGAATTTACGTCAGTGCCCAGGTGGCCATTTGTGGAGAAGTCAGGGACGACTGAGTTCTCAAGCACGGGGTCAAGAGCCTTCGCTCCCACGTGATCTTTTCTCCAGACCGTCGCCGCGCTGGAACAATACATATAGCAGGTTGTAGAGCCGTGTGAAGATACCTGAAGTTGTCAATACATTGAGCCGCAGTGTCTCTATCTCAATATAGTTCTGCATAGCTCTTCAGACGCATCGATGTGGTGCTTGTCATTGCCGCGGTCGTGCTCAGTGTACCTTCTTCTTACATCACACTGGTCAGAGCGCCACCCGACCAGTACTAGTCAGCGGGTAGTCGCAAATAAGACAACACAACTACTTCTATATACGCAATTTTTGATTAAATCCCGTATTTCTACATCGTGAACAAGTCCGATATTGATATCGCCAACCCAATTCACTACTGGCCACCACTTACATCGCTGTCGAAATGCTTCCTTCAACCGCTTCGTCCTCCGTGACAACATTATCGCAGACCGATATTGCCCCATTCAGCCAATCTTCAAGTGTTTATCACCCCCACGATCAAGGCGAATGGGGCATGTGCGGCACTGATCAAGGCGATGCGCGGATGATGCCTCCAGACCATCATGTCCATGAGTGGGAAGCGTCGCAGGTCGCTCTAAATCGTCAGCTTCAGAGGCCCCAGTATTTTCAAGGCTCATCAGAATACATTATCTGCCCGCCTCCGATGTGGTATGGTCAGACTGACACTATCGCGACAACGCACGGACCATTTCATCGTCAATCATACCCAACTCATTGGGGCAGCGAGGCCTGGCCATTCGACGACAATGACCAAGTGTCTGCTTTCAAGAATTTCCATGATGCTGGTCCTATTACAGGGCTTCCACGATCCCTTCCCGCTTCGCCCGAAGGTGCAGTCATGATGGCCTCAACACTCCGCCAATCGCAGCTCGAAGACGCAATCTCTGCTGGTCACTGCGACAACAACAATCGCCGGTGGAAAGAGTATGTTCCGCGAAGTAGGGCGAGTCGACAGTCCGAAGAGGCGTCCGTGGTCGACAGTCCAGTTCAGTCCAGAAAGGTAGAGACGAAGACTAAGAGTAGGATTTTGGAAATCGAAGAGCAAGAGAAGCCTCCCGCTGCGTTGAACGAAACTAAGCGCCGTGATTCGCTTCACAGGACGAAGATGAAGACCGACGTAAATGCGAAGAAGAACAAGCGACAAGCACTGCCACTGAACTCGTTCGGCCTGTACTTCACCGAAGTCACTGAAGCCCGCCAGAAAGCTCGGGGACTGGACTGGCCACCTCGTCAGGATGAGACTCTCCCAAACACCAAAGAAGAGCGGATAACAGTCGTTCGTAAGCTCTTCACTGCCATCCAAGACACCAGTGACATCCAGGACAAGATGTCGAGCCCTATGCTCAAGAAGCGCTGGCTGGCAGAGAGTGCAGGAGAATCGAGCCAGACAAAACGCACGCAGAAGATCGCTACCAATACAGTGTACAAACCTTGGGTGAAAGAGCGTCTCTGCTGGGATATCTTGGTCAGTTTCGCTATAGCATACGCAATTACAGGCGCTAACATGAACAAGGAAACAACTGAACGCATCTATCGAGAAGGCGCAGGGTTCGTTTCGATCTTGGATCCTGTCATGATCGATCGCTGCGAGAAATCACGGAAGCTCACGTTCGAGGAGCGTATTTCGAAACTTGTCGTAGTGTTGAAGTCATACAAGAGCCGTGTCGACAAGCTTTTGCGTGGAGGATGTGTCGAGGAGTATGTTTTATGCCCGGATACTCTTCTCCAGATCAGCTCGAGCAACCGCCAACAGAACGACGAGCGCCAGAAGGACCTTACTGCTGGCCGAAAGCGCGAAGATCGGCTCGTCAAGAAGCCCGGGAAGAAAAGGCAGATTCGTAGGTCTATCATCAGGCACCATGAACTTTACTGACCATCGTAGTGGCGCCTACACCGGCGACTAGTCGCAAGCGTACTCGCTTCAGTTCTGAAGACGCGTCCGATGTAGAAGAGCCGCAGAAAAGCCGCACCCGGAGGACCTAGACGCAGTGACCTTTGAGGCGCGGTGTTGATTCGGTTCGAGATTTCGCATTCCCTCAGGTGAGGGAAGGCGTATGGTATGCTCACTGCGGTAATATTCGCTTTGCTTCTCTCATGGTATGTGTGGTGGTCCCTTTGTAATTCAGTTTTCCGCTCGTCGCAACCAGGTTTGGTGCACAGCGTTCTCCCTTGGAGCGGGCGGTAAAGAGGGCTTGGTACTTTTGAAAGATAGGTTCTTTATCCCTGCAGACTTGGGAGCTTTGGCTAGGTCCTATGCCTAGTGTCAGTGACGCAATACAACTTTTGAGGCTGACGGCCGATGTGTCTGGCTGTACATAGCGAGATTGTGTCGCGCAGGCTCCTTACGGATCATGAGCATCCACCGCAGTTGTGAATCCGCTTGCTGCGAGTCCGTTGGAAGTAAGAGTATCGTGAAGATGTGGTGCGCGTAGTGAGTAGCACCTGGGTAGTTGAGGTTCGTCGGCGTGAAGTTTGACGCGAGCTTCGGTGCGCGTGACGTCATTAAATGGGGCCGCAAGCGGAACGCGTGATGCCTCATCACACCAGCGACGCCTCTCACAACTTCTTCCCTGTCTCGCTGCGCGTATGCCATGCTAGCAGTAGTCGCGGGTATGATGCCACTATTATACGACGTCTGCCAATCGACACCGAGAAGATGAAGATCCGCAACCAGGACAGACTCATACATACATTGCCGGCCGCATCACCACCTATGACATGACGCGTCTGTTTCTGTGCGAGCGACGAATATTTCTCGCAGACTTCGAAGAAGACGCCGATGCTACCGAACTTATTTCATCTGCAGGTAGGCGCTACCTTCATGTAACAAAGGGAAAAGGCAAGTAGCTTTGCGCCACACATTGTACCTGCTACTCCTACAGATGACTGCCACAACGTCGTCGAAACGATCGCACAGCCATGACGCTACACTCCCACACAGATCCTATCCTATCTCACCTAAGCTTCCTCGACACTCGTCTAATCACGCAGCGCCCGCGATTCATATTTCTCCTATTCACACGAGTGAAGAAACATGCCGAGATCGTCTGGCGATGGATACTTCGTATGTTACCTGCAGAGGATCAAGCAGTATATGGACGCACAACTTGCTAAGGAGGGTAGATGGGGCCGCGCGATCTCAGCCATCACTCAAAGTTTCCGATGATGCTGCGACTTCACGGCAGCATCACGCCTAAGCTTGTTATACCCGTTTTGCTGGTAGGCGGGTGGGCCACCGCCGTTACTTGCATCTCGAAGCTTGTATATGACCGTAAGCCATATCCTCTCCTTCCTGTACTACAAAGCCCTATTCTAACATGACGCAGTTGGAACCGACCAAGTCTTCATCACCGTACTAGGCTTTGTCGTCAGTCTGGCCCTCAGCGTCCGCAGCTCTACCTCGATGGACCGCTACTTCCAAGGTCGACAGCTTTGGGGACGCCTCCGACTCGCATCGCACATCTTGGCTCGTCTGATATGGATACACGCTGAAGAGAGGCATGGTGCTGATGCAGGGTTGGGGAAGCAAGATCTGCTCGGCAAGGTCAGCTGCCTGAACCTGATTGTGGCTTTCGCTGTCGCAGTGAAACATAAATTGCGGTTCGAGCCAGGAACGCATTACGAGGATCTGAAGCACCTGGTCGGTCATTTGGATACCTTTGCGCAAGCAGCGGATATGCCTGCGCCCGACCCTCCGAGCGCTTTCAGGCGGACTTGTCAGCTACTCGGCATGCCCATGGCGACGCCCAACCCACGCAAACACGTCAAGCAATCGCGCGTACCTCTCGGTGACCTACCCCTTGAGATTTTATCTCACCTCTCTGCGTACATGAAAGTTCTATACGACAACGGCACGTTGAGAGACTACAGCATCTACCAAACCCAGACTTTGGACTCGCTGACAATCATGGACGAGGTGTCGTGTGGCACGGAGAGAATCCTGAACACACCGCTTCCACTTGCGTACTCCATCGCCATATCTCAGGTCACATGGCTGTATATCCTGTTACTACCGTTCCAATGCTACAACAGCTTAGGATGGATCACAATTCCTGCATGTGTGGTGGCAGCGTACATTATCCTGGGTATCGCTTTCATCGGCCGTGAGATCGAAGACCCTTTCGGACACGATGTCAATGACCTACCTCTGGATGCCTTCTGCCAGCAAATCCGCCAAGACCTTGACATTATCATGTCGCGCGTTGCACCTCACGTCAATGACTTTATGGGTCGTGAAGAAAACATGCCGCTGTATCCTCTTTCGTATCTGAGCACGAGAGCATGGGCAAACAAATCGCCAGATGAGATACATGTCGCTTTGTCGCAGAAGGTAGGTCTCCATCATCCCATGGTTGAACGCGGCGAGAACCCGGTGCCACCTACGCAAGGAAGACTAGCCGGCGTGGATGGCTGGGTTGAGAAGGGCGGATCAGGGCCGATCGACACAACAGGTCATTACAGAAGGAAGTACGGAAGTGTTTAGTTTTCTCAGGTCCAGACACCAAGCACACTCCCTCTTATCACCCTACCTAACACCTAGATTGCAAACAATAATTCTATTCCGTTTCCCGTCTGACTTACCCTCTCAAAGGGCCCTTCTTCCAAAGCTGACCCATCCCTCCCAAACCTCCGATATTCTTTAAGAGGGTCTCCAATTTCCACGCGTCCCTGTCTTCTCCAATACCTAAAAACCCGAGATCAGACAACAGCCTATGCGTCTTCCCACCATACGCTTCCGCTTTTCCCCTATCGCCCTTCTCCAACCACAGCATAGCTAACATGGCATACTCATCGGTCAACATCGACCAGACTCCTTCGTCTTTGATCAGTTCAACGGATTCCTCCGCGAGAGCTATAGCTTCATCGAGTTTGTAGGCCTTCGCTAGCTCCATAATCTTTTCCTCGGCCTGTGTGATCATTGTGCGGCGAAGATCGGAGGCTTGGCGTTCGTCGACTGGTAGGCTGCAGAGGCTACATGTACATTTGAACCCCCAACGCTTTATCAGAGACTGACGTTTTTGAAATGGGATACCCAAGAGGAGGTCTAGGTGGCGTTAGCACAAGAACAGGAAGGAAGAGGGTGGAGATTACAAGAAACGGTAATCTCTTCGCCGGCCTCAATGTCCCGGTAGGCTTTTATGGCCATTGAGACACCTGCGCGGGAAAAGAGGACGAAGGAGTTTGGGTTACATGCATGATTAATGCGCTGGCACGGTCAGTGACACTCATGTTGCTGTTGAGACTGCGTCACGACCTACCGAGATCAGCGGATACAGCGCCCTCGAGCTGACCTCCGCAACTGTACTGCCATACGCATTCGTCTTCATGATGGCTTCCTCTAAGCCCCCCTCCTCTTCGTCATCTCCATCATTCTCACCCTCATGGCTCTTGCCCGAATGCGCAGAACTCATATCCCTGATCATCGCCGGCACGAGCAATTGATCTACAGCCCTCTTCATCAGCTTCTTATTCTCAGCCTCACTCAACGTCTTTTCCGCCCCCATATCCACAACAACAGCGGCTTGATCCACCATGAAGGTTTCGTACATCTTGATTTTACGCGTAGCCACGACGCCTTTCGCTTTTCCGGGTATGTCGACGATTTTCCATGGCTGACCACCGAAGTAGAGGCGCTCAGCATCCTTTTGTGTGAGGAAATTATCGAGCGGGTTGTCGTCGAGATATTCCGACGCTAGATGGGCGGATCTTGGGGGGAAGATCAGGGAGAGGCCGTGTGGGCCTGTCGTGTTGGATGTGTAGACGCAGTACTTCTGGCCAAGGGTGGGGAGGTAGTTACTCGCTGTGCAGTACGGTTTGTGAGACCATGGAGCATACGGATGATCTTCGTTTGGAGCGAATAGATGCTGTTGGAGATCTGGTTGTAGCAGGTCGTCAATGTCAAGGACGCCTACTGTCGCCGATGCATGCTGGAGTGCGAGTTGCAGGACAATAATCGCTAGGGTTAGGCAGCGCATGACTGCAATGACACCTCGCTGGATGTGAGTATGAAAGCTTTCCACATGCCCTCAAGGCATAACAGCATCTTATGAGAGTTCTGTGTTCCCATAGTGCTCGGTGTGTCATGTTTCCCGAAGCGGCAATGTTCGTCACGTAGCTTTACCCGGAAATTTATCCCAGACGTCCTTCCCGACCCCAAGAGACTTGGGCACTTTGCAAGACTCTCCCGCTCGCTCTGAAGACCAATTGTGAACGGGTTGTAGTCAATCCCAGATAGGCGGTTGATAACGTGAGGCTTGTCGCCCAGAAGTGCTGATGCAGAACGAATTGATCGCCTCGGCAGCAGGAATGTGGTTGAACCTGGTTTCGTGATGGCAATGTGCACGGTTTTTCAATTTGCTTTAATCGGCTACCGGTATTTGTTAAGTGCCAGTTTTCCGTATGTGAGCGACCTTGCACAAGCTGCAGACTTATTGCCCCTGCTGAGCTTAATTCTTCCCCACAACAATGAGTGAAGCGCAAATGTTAGCGGCCTATACGACTCCCTTCTGCATGCGGCGCATGATCTCTCGAACGTGTATGCTTTGCTGGTCTATGCCTTGCATCATTGCGTTATCAAGTACGATGTCGTTCAGTCTCTGTAGTTCTCTCTGTAGACAGATAAGCTTTCCAAACACGTAGCAGACGACTGCTATGAGAGAGAAAATAAGTATTTGTTCTGGCCTGTTCCATCGGGTGCAGCGATATAGATAGAATGGTGTCGCAGCCACAGCCCATCCCAGAAACCATATCGTCTTTGGAAGGTCATACACGATCACGAAGACATGGATGGCGATTGTGCAGAGAAGAATCATAATCTTCACAGTTCCGGCAACGCCATGGCCTACATAAGCCCAAGGGATCTGGGCGTAAGGTCAGATCTCAAGCTGGATAATAAATTTGGGTACACATGCTTACCTGTAACGATGGGAGCCCGTACCGATGCAAGAGGATATCAATCCAGTCGCTCCTGCCGTACAGATCTTCGATCTCCTTTTTTAGGCGACCAAAAGCTTTCTCTTTGCCTTCGCCGTATATGAGCGGCATCTGAACTTCGAATATGCCAAGAAGACAGTACGCGGCGTCTTCCTCCCTTTTCGTTTGACGATGCTCTGCCCAGTTCATGCGCTCTTCAACAGGATATTTGAGCGTAAAGTCTGGACCATTTTCCAATGCGGCTACAGGAATGCTCGTCTCACGTGCAATTTCTTTTGCAAGGGAAGACCTGTCTCCAATTCTTGTACCGTCCATGGAGAAGAAGACAACGCTCCTTGGTGCTAGAAGCTCCTGAAGCGTCCATCCACGTGTAAACCATCGATGGCCATTGAAAGGTTGCTTGTGTCTCGGTAAATACCGCATGCCAGTGCTGGGTACATCGGAGAGGTATACATAACATGCTGTCGAATCCCGATACCACCTAAACATCGAATTGATGGCTTCAGCCAATTCCGCGCTACTGCTCTTATCTATGCAGCATGTATCAACCCAGAAAAATTCGAGATTGTCTCTAGCGGCCTGCGCAGCGCAGAACTGGAGCTTGGCATAGCCGGGTTTCTTTTTGCCTTTGCCCTTGCCCTTGTATATGTCTTTGAATGTGACTTCATCCTCGTCGGCGCCCCAGGTATGTGATAATATTGCGTAGGTTGGCGTGTAGCGAACAAACTCAACGAGTTCGAAGTCGTCGCCAGAGGCATGCAAAAGGCGCATGTTACCGTTAGTATAGAATCTTGGGAAATAAGCTGGAAGAATTGAGTTCAAATGTTTAATGATTGTTGCCTTTGGGCGAGGAAGAAACATGTTGTGGTGACAAAGACGCCAGTGCGGGGCAGTGCAGTGAGGCTGAGCGTGATACATTAGCATGGTGTTTTGTGGCGGCGCTAAGATTCAGCCTTCCCAAACAATCCGAGTTCGTGTCGGATCAGCAGGAGAAGGCCGTCTGGCATGTAATTTTGAGCATGTCAACAGGTCGGCTCTTCGGTGATCAAGCTGAGTTGAGCAATAGTGTGCTTCTTATTGAACATTCGTCTTATAGTCTTCTTAACTTGTCCACGGTATTCAAAAGCAGCCTTGCTTCACCGAATCGTCGTTCAACCTATGCATCATCAACATCAGCTCCACGCCTCAAAGCTTCGAGCTCATACCAGTATACGCGATGCACTCAATCTCAACCGGCACACCCTTGGGCAGCTGCTTAACGGCAACACAGCTGCGCGCAGGCTTGTGGGAGAAGTACTGCTCGTACATGCCGTTCATCTCGGCGAAGTTGGCCATGTCGTCGAGGAAGACGTTGACCTGGGGTCGTAGTCAGCACCTTATCGGCTGTTTGCCCATATATGTCCTTGAACGCACCTTAACGATCCTGTCCAGAGCAACACCAGCCTCAGTGAGGATGCCCTTGATGTTCTCGCAGCACATCTTGGTCTTGTCCGCGATGCTGCCCTCGATCAAGTTGCCCTTGGTATCGGCGGGGATCTGGCCCGAGACGAAGACGTTGGGGCCTGCGACGATGGCTTGTGTCTAGACGGTGACGTTAACGCGGTTGTTCGGATGCGATGGGATCGATAGAGGAGGAACGTACGTAGGGTCCAGCAGCTGTGTCTCTGTTAGCTATCTCTCCTTCCGCATCTCCGCTGTCAACTGGAACGTACGAGGACACGCGTTAGCGGTGTGAATCTTCTTGATATCAGACATCTTTCGTATTCCTTTGATGTCAATTGCTTTGTAGGGTGAAGTTGTGATAGCAGGTCGCGTGAGATTCGTGGTTGTAGTAGTAAGAGGTCGTGAAGCACGTAGAGCTCTTGGTAGCGCCGTGCGTATCAGCAGCATGGGACCGTTTATCTACGTCAGGTAAATCGAGGCTATCATCGGGCTAGGTGGACACCTAATTGAGCGCGTCCGCCCTATACCTGTGACATAAGATGGGGCTTGGGTGCGGCATCGGAAGCTACCCCACTTTCCCTCTTGGGCGTGCGCTGCGCGTCAGCAGCTTGCAGGGATGTTTTTGTTGATGGAGGGGTAATGAGGGCGGAAATTTTGGGGACGGCGACTTTTGCGACGGGGAAAGAGGGTATGGCGCCGCTGTCGTGTTGCGCAGGGCGCAGGGCTTAGTTCGGTGTCAATGATATAGTGTGGAAATGACCATTTGAAGGTGCGTATACGAGTAAAGAGACTTTTGACGTATTTATCGTGATATCCTCGCGCGCATCTCTCATCGCGCCATGTCGTGACTATACAAACCACCAACGCCGCCCATATGCATTCCTATGCCCCATCTATAATGTGTATTGTTTACGGTATCGAGTCGAGATTTGAAGTTTGAAGATTACCAGCCGTCTCAGTATTACACCCCTACTGCTCCATCTTCTCCTCCTGGCCCGAAAGCAATGTGTGTACAGGCGCGTCGAGCTGGTCGCGGCCCTTGAGGAAATCGAGTTCGAGAATGAAAAGGTATCCCATGATAGTTCCGCCTAGCTTCTTCACCAGAGAACCAGCTGCGGCTGCGGAGCCACCTGTGTCGTGTTAGCATCTCGTCTCGTCTCTGATGCGAACGATGTCACATACCAGTCGCAATAATATCATCCACAATAAGCACGTTCTGCCCGCTCTTGACAGCGCCCTCCTGCATCTGGAAGAAATCACTGCCATACTCCTTCTTGTATTCCGCCGTCTCACACGGACCCGGCAGCTTGCCCCTCTTCCTGACGGGCACAAAACTCGCGCCCAGCCTCAGCGCAAGGCTGGGCCCGAACAGGAAGCCGCGCGCATCGAGTCCGACGACGACATCTGGCTTGGCACCTGTCGCGCCGAACTGCTTCTTAATCGACAGCTCGAGACCGCGCAGCAGTCCCTCGTGGAGCGCGGGGTCGGCGAAGATGGGCAGGATGTCTTCGAAGAGGATGCCGGGTTCGGGGAAGTCTTTGAACTGGCGGAGCGAGGCCTTCAGCGTGCTTTTAAGACGGGCGAGTTCGGCGGCGGCGGAGGGACGGGGGGTGGACTGTCCGCCTTGGGAGGGGCCATGGCTGTTGGACTCGAGGGTCGGGTCGGGCTTTTGCGGGGGAGGGTGCGCGGCGGTTGCGTCGCCCTTTAGTGGGGGGTCGGCGGGCGTGGTGGTGTTGATGGGGTGGGTGCTGTGGGCGGGCGTGTCGTGGGGAGCGGACATGATGGGACGAGGGGAGGGGGCGGCGTCGAGATATAAGACGGACGGGTCAGGTCTGTATGGGAGGGCGGATGCGATAGATAGGGCTAGGGCAGAAGCCGGGTTGGGGTAAGGTGGTCAGGGCTGGCTGGCTGCACTGCAATGCTGTCAGACTCGGGCGTCGTCGTGGTCGCTCAGAGTACCCAGCGCGACAAAAAAAATTGAGTTAGCCCCTCTGGAAAACGGTCCGCAGGGCCACACAGTTCCTAGGCCCACCACCGAAACCCCGTATGGCGAATCAAGACGCCATTTGTTCAGCCGCTCAGCGCTCAGCGCTCAGCGCAGCACCTTCGCACTCGGTTGCCTATACACCACCTCGCTGCTCGATGCGGCAGCTCCCTACGCCCGCACCGCACTCGCCCATCCTATCGCACGCGCGCCACGGGCAGCTGTATCGCCGTGATCCCTGACCCACAACTATCTGCGGCGCCAAACATGTGCCAGACTCGACATTTACCCTTATCGGAACCAAGGGATGCCGAACGAAGACGTGCATTCACATGTCGACGTCACGCCAGGCCAGAAAACGAGCACGTAGGCTGTAGGGTAAGAGTCATACTGCCGCTTCCCAACAATTTCTCCTGCCCTCCCATGGATCCCATGCCTTCGGGCGACTATAGTAGCTGCGTTACTGTTGAAAGCCCTTCTCTAGCTTTGCATTCGCGATTCGCGCAATCTATTACTCAAACACGACATGTCAACAACATGATCTGCGTCCTCTGTCTCGCAACAAAAGCCAGTGCCGTCGAAGCGTAGCGGGGATCTCATGGCAGTACCCCACGG